ACGTTCCCAAGGAGGAGTGCTCGTGGTCGCAGTCCTGACTGCCCGCTGCTGTTAAATGATGTGTGTCAACATTTTTATTACCCTTCCCCGTTCATATGTATATTCTATGTGTTGGTAGGGGTAAAAGCCAACGTGCGCCAACATTAATCAAGACATTCTAAAGATTTAGATATACATTCATATTTATGCATTTTGAGGGTAAAATACAAAAACCAAACAGCAGCAACAATGCTCGGCACACGCCGGGCGACAAAAGCATTTGCTTCCGGTATGCCGCCTGTGGCAGGACTCTGTAGGGTATGGAATAAAAGCGGACGAAGGAGTGTGCATTCTAGCTTGAAATAAAGTTGCACTGGCGGCCGCCTCGCTTTTTGGCTTTTGTGTTTTCCGCTTTTTGTTGTGGGTAAAAAATCGTAGAGAAAAATGTGTTTCATATGAATAAATATTCCTGCTATGCCCCTAATGGACTTCTGTCAAAGGGGTGGGACTTGGCTCATAAATGGAAGCATATGCTAATTAAGAAGAGGAATTCCTTCACCAAGAGGAGAAACTATTGCGTAACCAAACCGATATGTGTGAGACCTTCATAAATTGATTACTTTTAAGGGTTAGTCTATAATATTATAGAAAAGATTCCCCAAGATAAAAGTTGAGCTTTTTTCGAAGGCTTTTATAACTTGAGAGATTCTCACATACAGTTACATATAACTAAGGTAAATATCCAAGTAAAATTTAAGCAAAAAAGTTATTTTATAAAGTCGATATCAAACAAAAGGAAATTGCGCTCTGCTAGCACAGTCAGCCCCTGCAGCCTCTGCTTCACATTTTCCCATCTAATACCAGACTTACTTCATATCTCTCACGCTTCCAGCTATTTGCACACAAACAAAAATAAATATTAAATCTCAGACTGACGGAAGCGAAATCGTTTTGTGCCAGAGACACCCTCGCACCACACCCCACTCAGTGGCACCCACCCCTCTGAACGGATTTCGTTTCACCGATGTGGCACTTTACTCGTACTACCACTACACAGCCTTAGTCCATGTGGCACGCTTATCGACTGGCGCAGCGTTTAGTTTTGTGATTGAGTGGGTGGACATGTGGATTGACAGGATGAGTCTGCTAGATCAACAGTCGGCCGAAGTTCATCAATTTCGCTCGTCAGGGCTTTCCGTGTGGGAAAATATCTCCTCGGGCATACGCGTACTTGTGGGGTCTCTGAGGAGGACCAACTTTTAAAGTCATCACATTTTGGTCTGGTAATTAAAAACGTGTGAAGCTGTACCCGTGAAACCCTTTTGCTCGGAGTAATCCGCGCCCCATCCCTCATAAATCAGACAACGAAAAGCCATACATCATAGACACCATGGGGAGTCCCCCAAAAGTTACAGAGAGTTGACACGGCACAGCAAGAGGCGAAAGCCTCAAAAGTTATTTTGTAATTAGTGCAAAAGGCAGAGACACCCAGAGATGTAGCAACATCAGCAGCTAGAACGACTGCCTGGATGGATAATGATGATTACGCTGGCGCAATGAAATTGAAGATGACTTTTGGTCGAAGCTGCACTAATTACCGCTGACGAGCGACGGGACTGTTCTCTCGATCTTCCGCCATGGCCACGAGCACGGCACGGGCTCGGGCTCGGGCTCAGGCTTCGGCCTGTCAACTCAAGTTTGACACTTTTTTGCGTGCAATTTATGAGGGCGGGTGCTCGCTGTGAGGCACAGTGGGACTGAACGGGAATATTGCCATTGAATGTTATTCATTTTGGTAAGCAGCTTACTGGCATTTATTTAATTTTATTCAACAGATGGTGTAACAAAATGCATTCACAAATTTATTAAGAATAAATAGTTGTAATAACATTTTTAATGTCAAAATAAAATGAAATTATAATTATTTGTTGTTGGCAATTTTGATTATTTCACAACCATAAAAGCATATTGCCAGCCCACTGTGCACTGTGGACGTTCGACTGACACTCGAGGCGTTGACAAGGCTGCCACTTAGTTTAGAGTTTTATGAGCGCAATTCGATTATTCTTCATTTATGTCAATCAATGTGGAGGCCGCTGCCTACTGGCTGCTTTTAGGAGGTCTCCCCACTGCACTTCTAATCGCTTTGTTTAAATAGTAACCGTTGCGGGAATCAAGGATTTTTCGAAATTTAATATCACAGTGTCTGATGTGTCTGAGGCGGCTGCTGTATTGTTGTTGGCTATTGGGCTATGCCGCCGTCCTGTCTATGGAGCTGTCTGCCCAAATGTCTGCTCTCACTTCTCCTATGTCGCCCTCGTCCTGTAAGCGTATCCTTTCGAATACGAAATCCTTTGCGGCTATGACTGCCGAGGCTGCCGCTGTTTTGTTGATTTTCATTTCATTTCCCAGCTCGCCTTTTTTCTCGTTTTCTCGTTCTACCTCCTGTTTATTTCGCTTTGCTGTTTGCTTCCGCAACTTTATTATAGCTTTTTGCTGAGTAGCAACTGTTTGGCTGTTTGCTTTATGCTTATGAGGGTAAGACCAATGCGTCGTATTGGCCTTGTCTCCAGGAGAGCCGTGGTCGAAGGGGAGTTCCACAGGCTGGGGCTAGAACGGAAGTGGGGATCTCTATGAGCCATAGCTTTTGTGGATTATGAATTGGTCGTGCTGGGTGTGTGAGAATCGGGGCACTTGCACAAACTGTTGACTGAGATTATTGGCTACTTTAAGTGGCCAGCCCAAAATGGGAATACTGTTTAGGCGACTGTGAAAGTTTGAAGAACCATTCTTGTATTATTCAAAATCTAGCCTAAAATGCCACTGATTTGCAATTTCAAATTGAAATCAAAAGTAGACTCTTGCATTATTAGAAAAACATTTGATATTTAACATTTGACAGTGTACTTCTAATAAGTTATCGTAAAATGTTTCCTGCTATACTTTCAGATCATTTTCATTCATTGTACGAGTACATCAGTGCATAAAATTATGTTTCAAATGTGCATGCACACATATTTTTGCGACTTACTTATAAAATTGTGTAGATCATTGATCACTAACGAAAATTCCATATTTATAACAATTATTATAATCTGATATTACAATAATTTGATATTACTACATTTTACATGCGTATAATTGTAAATGTTATGATAATAACATATAAGGAAAATGTCTTTACTTATATACAAAATTATATAAAAATGGCTTAGAAGTTGTCCAATTAAAATTTAAATGGATATTAATTTGTTTCCTCTCAATTATTTAAGTTGAGTAATAAATAAATAATAAAAAATACAAATGCATAATTAAAACTGGGTTTAAAAGTGTTTTCCTGCTCATAACTATATTTTTTACTATCTTTACTTTACTATTTTGAATATTTTGCATGCCCATCGAATATTATATTTTGGGATGAAAATGTTGTTCTTCTTGCTGAAGTTATGAAAGTTAAATTAGTATTTATTGTTTTCGGAACATTATGTATTTTAAGCTTAACCTTTTTAATACATTCCTAAATCTCAATGAAATGTTCTTAACAATTTCAATTTGCAGACAAGCTTCGCTGACAGTTTTTCAATTTAATTAATGCTTACAAATAATTTATTCCCCAATAAAAATTAAATAAGTGTGTAAGTACAATAGGTACTTGCTTTAGTGGACTTTCTTTTTAACTCAAATATAAATTGCACTCCATTTAAATGAATTGCAATATTAATGTTCTCCATTAGCTTTGACCATTCTTGACTGGCAATAACTAATGAATTGCCATTTCTTTCATATAAATTGCTCTAAAAGTAGCTTTGACAATCCCCAAAATTTGGCAAATTTATATTTAAAGTCTCACGTAGAAAGCAAATCTATCAAATCCTCAATCGACTGGACATTCGTCAATAAGAGGGGGAATGAGTTTTGATGCGGCGGTGCTCATCCATAAATCGCTGCGTTTTTCGAGTTTAGAGTTTAGAGTTTGGAGCAATCAAGCCAGCGGAGCAGACAGGGAAAATATTCAAAATGGCCGACATTTTGTGCTATGTACGGGCCCGGGAAGCAGACCCAGCGCCAGACAGAAGGAGAATGTATATGTACGGGTATATGGCAGGGCAGGAAAATAATGGAAAATGGCCTGGCAACATGTTAATAGCATTTCACGCACGACTGAGATTCGCATGCCAGACCACGCCGCATTCCCATGCCGCCCACTCATATCAGGCCATATACCGGAGGTGGGAAATCCCGGCTCCTGATTGGTTTGGCCCGGCCAGGTGGCTCGGCCGCCCCCACTCCGGCCAGAGCGCGGCTTTGCTACTGTTGCCAGCAACCCTCGACCAATGCTGGGTACGGCATTCCGGCACAGCCCGTCCGCATTCCTGGGCCTGCGCAGCTCCACGCTCGGAGAGCTTTTCACCACACGGCGGGCAGTGGGAGCGAGCGAGACGGGCGGGTCGATTATGCTCTGCCAGAGCATAATCTGGACCAGGGCACCCATCTGGGCAGACAAGAAAGGCGAATGCGAATGATGTTAGTTTCACTTCGTGCGTTGTCCTGCTGAGGCCAAAGCGAGCTCGGAGCTGCGTTAGTGCTGCATCTGGTATATAGCCCCATGTATAAAAAGTGAGAGGGGAATATAGTGAATATATATAGTGAAAATATTCTGAATAATACTATGAAATTGTTGAGTGATTAGTGGAGTGGATGCAAATGTTAATAATTTCCCCTTGGTGACCCCGAAAAACTCCTTCGTAATACCCTTGAAAGGGAAAAATCTTCTCATGCCTTTCCCACGCTTCCAGTTTCCAGTAGTCGAACAATTCCAGTGTATATACTATGCTCCTCCTTCTTACCCCTACCCTTCTGCCGTATTCCAACCCTGCAGTTCAGGACGCGACTGAGATAGCTGCTTATATACCCAGTCCACAGCCAGCCCCATCCCCATCCCCATCCCCATCCCCATGCCACCTGTCCTGGTCTTGCATGATCCTCTGCGAGGTCTACGACGCTGCTAAACATGACCTGGCTATCACACAGTCTTCAGACAGAGTTGAATTCGGATCGCCATCATCCTCGTCGTCGTAGCTTGCCGCCGGTCTCGTCGTCAACTCTGTCTGAATGTTGTCGTCCCACATTTTAAGTTTTAATTAGTTTATTGCAAACTTTTACTCCTGTACTTTTTTTTCTCCCGGGCGTGTGTTGTTCAGAAAATGTGAGAATGTAGTCAAATAATACCACAACTGAGCGTTCAACCAAAAATCAAATCGGTTATGTAATCGTTACTTGTCCTCTCCTTCTTCCATTCGCAGCGTATCGTGTTGAGTGTCAAGCTATAGAATCTGTCATCTGTGTACCTTATTTGTGATATCATAACCAACCACAAAATAATAGTTTATAATAATCAATCAATTTTGTTGCCTAATAATAATCATTTAACATAAACGCAACTAAATGTAACTGTAATGCGAGAGCCGATTACATAAGCACGAACAGCACGGCGAAATGGATTACGTAACACTTGTGTGGCATGTAAGTAGGCGAAATTCATAAAGGTCATAAGTGCGGAGGGATAAAACACACAAAAGAAAAAGAAGAGATCACAAAATGATCCGAATTTTATACGTTTTATTCAACATAGATTTTAGAATAAAATAAATGAAGAGTAATAGAAAATAAATTTGTATTTGTTTGTCCTTTTTGTTTAATTTTTAGTGTTTTTTTTTTTTAAGTTTGGAGCCCATACCATAATATTTTGTTTCAGTTTTGACTTTATGCTGATGTAAACTAAAATCTTTCCACAAAATCTGACTCTCAATTGGCCAAACTTCATGTTAATGGAATCAGGTGTTATGTTTTCTGGACACTTTTGAAAAGGATTGATCTCAAATTTCAGACCCACATTTAATGAAGAATCAATTGCAATCGAAATACACTCGAAAAGCAGGAGAATTCAAACAAAATGCCTTTCCGGCTTACCACCACTCTCTTTCTACCTCCCTGCCGCCCTTCCACCAGGCCTCCACTCACGCATCAAAAACACAAATAAATTTATGAACATAAGCAGCTTACAACAAATGTGGAAAATTGTGAAGCTCTGCAAGAGCTTTTCTTATCAGCAGCAGCAACAGCACACAAATTGGCGAACAAACTAATAACTGGTACAAATCTCTTTTGCAGGCACTGTGAATGAATAAGTAACCACCCACTGGTTGAGACACAGCCTCTTCGAACAAGCCAATACAGCGGAAAATCTAAATTAGATGGCGGCCAAGTGAAAGTCTCCCTCTTTAGCCGAAAGTTAAGTCGTCAAATTATTGCTGGCCTCACAGAAATTAACCGCCAGCCGATTCGCCACGCCCATTGGCACGGTAAGCCGCCGTGAAGTAGGCAAAGCAAAGTACGAGAATATTTATGCGCACAAGTGATAACCACGGCACGGTCAACGAAGCAAAACATTTGCTGCGCTAGGAAAGGGACGACACGGCACGGGCACGGGCACGGGCACGGGCAACACAGTGAGCCAAGTGGGAGATCCATAACCGGAGTCAGAACAGGAGTCAGAGGAGTTAGGAGGTTTCGGCCACTGCCATAGCATCACCATGAAGGGCTTGACGGCGTTTAAGGAGAAGGCGACGGGCGTGTTTGGCGGGTGAGTGCATAAACGAATCGAATATGATATGATATTACACTAAACAGAAGGGTTGCGATGTACAAAATAAGAAATGTTTGGATTACTTTTGGTGAGAATTTCTAATTTCCAAGGCAATTTCCGATACGAGACTTTTTTCCCACACAACAAAAGTGAGAGCAAAGTTTCTCCTTGCACCTAACTTTTGCTGGCCAGTGTAGAATTATGACGATGGGCAATATGCCGAGAATGAAATATGATTACAATCAAATGGACTTTAGAAAGAGAGAGAGAGAGTGAGCAAACAAAAAATAAGAATTTAATTTAACGCAACGCTGATCTTGGTAGTTGTTGGATGAACTTGACCTGGCAATCCGGGATAATGCAGCATACAAAATACGAAAATATTCTCGTATTGATGCACACTGCCGACGAGCCGGCGTCGCGAAACTTTGGCACGTGTCTGGGCCCGGAAAGTTGTAAAATTATTGGCATGCTTAACAAGTCATTAAAGGGGAGTGACGAGAGGGAGCTCGACTTTCCAGGAGTTCCAGGAGCGGTGACAACAAACGCCTCGGCATGCCGGGACGCTCACCGGCGCCTCAGGAATTCCGTGCACGTTGCCAGCACGTGCCCACACGGAAGCCATTGACAGCGACGATGACTCCATCACCTTGGTCTGCTCGAATACAATAAAGTGCGAGTAGTGAAGCATATTGGGCAAGCTCTCACACACCATTCAATCGTTCAATCCTTCGTTCACTCAGTCATTCATGGGGAGGACAATGTGAGAGGCATTGGTATGCAATTTTATGGGCGCACCAGGACGGGATAACTGATTTCTCAAGGACCTTGGGCGCAAATTAGAAATAGGAACAATAGGTGGCATCGCTTTCATTAAGGAATCTGTTGCATGCCAACGAAAGGCTGCAGATGAAATTGATTTTTACGAGCGTTTTATTCGCCCGTTGCCAGGATCTGTGCCTGAAGCCCTCAAGGGGCACTCAGGGAGCGCGCGCGGCGCGAAGAAATTGGAATGCCTCAAGAGGCAAAGCAAGGGAAAACTGAATGAGTTCCTTCTCAATGCCAGCGAAAATGAAATTAGAATTGTCATTGAAGACGCGGTCGTGTCGCTGACATGCCCCACCACCACCATTAGCACCACAAGTACCAAAGTGTCTCAGTCGTCAAGGCAAGCAGAGTACAGAAAATAGAATTCTGTATATGTACATACACGAGTGCTGTACATCTACCCTATTTTCATCTAATGGCTGCTTAATGGGTGCGCGTTTGTGACCAAGTTAAAGTCAAACGCGAGTTTCCATCGAATGCTGAAAATCCTTCAGCTTTCCGCTTTCCCACTCGCGTCTATGGCGCCAGATAGCAGTAATCTATGCGGCGCCAAAAAGTCTACAACATTTTTACTGACAATCCAACCCGCCAAACAAGTGGCTGGAAAAACTTTAGCGCCAAGGATAGTTTTGGCGAGACAGCAAAAAAATAAGTCAATGTTATACACTGAAGAATGACTTTCTGAAGATAGACAACGTCAGAATGCTCTCACAATAGATTTACCAGTAAAAACAAAGCCGTTTAATTACAGAAATAAAATAAATTGAAAGCAGGTGTGGAATTGCTTGCTCTTGCTTAGGAAGAGTTTTTTATTTTCCCAACTGATTACCTGATAATCTCTGGCATACCTTAATGCCACTCTTGAATGTCTTGAGAATCAGCTGCCGCTAAAATGGTAATCGAACTGCTTTCGGCACATAACAAACCTAATGACAGGCATTACACAGCGCTCTCCCTTTCGCAGGGCAAATAAAAATTGCCGCATAAAATTGGCGTCAGACGAGGCGTCCTTAAAGTCGGTCAATGCACAAGACGGCGGAAGGACTCCTCGGCCTCGTCTTGGGGCGGACTTCCCGGTCCTGCGTGACCAGACGAGGGTAGCTTTAGCGGCAGACATTTGAGTTATGTGACAGTCGGCGACGACGAGAAAGTTATCCACTGTAGTGGCTTGTTTTTGGCTGCTGGCTGCTTATTAGTTTGTACAGCTCGCTTCTCGGGAGTTTGTCTAGATATCGAACGGAAAAAATGCCCCCAGAGAGGGGGGGATCATTGTGGATGTGTCACTTAAGCAGAGTTAATGGGTGGGCAGGGTAGACCGGCACGATATCATCTAACAACTGCCATCAATCAGCGAGCGACAAGGTTCTGCACAGTGTTTAAACCGTGCTCGACCGACAAAAGGTCTCGGCAGAGAAATCAAATCCCAAAATGCGATTTCAGATTGTCACCTGGTCGAATCAACTTTAAATACCTAAACCCACAGCCCAGCTATCGCCACTTAATAAAATTGAATTTCATTCAGGCTGCGGGAACTGCCTCCCTCTGGCAGTTCTTACCGCAGTCACGGAAATTCCTTGGGGACGCAGAACGCAGAGCAACCACCTTGATCGGGGAGGGTGGCAGCTGCTGCCCTAACAAGCAGGAGAATATTTGTGTTTTCACACCCTCTTATTGACCTGTTGATATACGTAGCCTGTTTCTGTTCTAATTGGCATGAATTATGTCCATCTATCCGCACGCCCCTTTCCTCCTTCCAGCCTCAAGCCGAACATGGAGAAGTTCGAGATATCCCAGAGCTACCACACCGGCCACGGCGGCTACGAGGAAATGGAGGGCGGGGAGCGCGAGGGCCACGGACCCGGCGGCGGCCACGCCTACGACGACGACGACGACCGGCCCGACTCTCCCGCCTCCTTCGAGGAAATAGAGCGTCCGCCGCTCCGGAAGATCGACAAGTACTGCAAGGCGGAGTGCCCATGCATGCCAGCCCGCTACACCATCGCCACCATGGCCTGTGTGGGCTTCATGATCGCCTTCGGCATGCGCTGCAATATGTCCGCGGCCAAGCTAAAGGGCGAGCACAATGGGGTAAGTAACACAGGAGACAACTGCCATAAATAAGTGCTTTTGCCACCGGATCTTTAATGGTAAAGATGCTTCGTTTAGTTTAGCTTTTAGTTGCTACAAAATTCAGCTCTCGAAAGAATTCAAATTAAATTTTGAACATAAAGAAAGCCAAACAAAAAATGCATGGGAATGGGACGAAAATTTGCTTCATTTGGCATAAAAGCTGCTGTCAATTAGGGTGTGGCCATGTATCATTCAAAAGTCATACACAAAAGGTCACGCCTCCCCCCCAAACGTATGGGGAGAAACGCCAAGTTTGTGCGCCTTGCATGACATCCGGTTTGACGCTCGTTAATAAAGGCCCGAGGCAATTTTTAATGAGTGCCGTTTTCCCACTCATGGTTTAATATTTTGTCTCTATTGTGTTATTTGCAGACGGTTTTTATGAACTGGACGGTTGCCGTGGAGAGCCATGTGGACTCGTCCTTCTTCTGGGGCTATCTCATAACTCAGATTCCCGGTGGCTTCATTGCATCCAAGTTTCCGGCCAACAAGATATTCGGCCTCTCCATCGTCAGCTCGGCAACGCTGCATCTGTTCGTGCCCTTTGCCATGACGCTGATGCACGGCCATGTGGTGATTTGTGTGCGCGTGCTGCAAGGACTCTTCGAGGTAAGTAGCCAGATTCGATTTTGCCACAGATCAAAGCCAAGGATTACGACTGCGTGATGCTGCGAAAAGGGAGGGATTGGCGCAGGGATGGGACTCGATTTTGCTTTCTGTTAAAGCAAATATGTGGAACGAAAACATGTCCTAAGCCCTCAAAAGAGGATACGGCTAGAAGGAAGGGAAAATAACAAAAGCATTTATTTTAATGCGATTTCTTCATGTGTACACCCAAGTCTATCATTTTTCTTTCTGCTCTCTCTCAATTAGAGTTGTGGCGGAGGAAAGATTTTTGACGAAACGAATGGGAGAAGATGCTTTTGTCAATTCACTTTAAATGTGCAGCGAAATATCTTAAAAAGGGTGTATCTTTACAATCAGAAATATCAGAAAATACGTAAAGAAAGTGGTCTTCAAAACTGTAGAATTTATTCTAAATAATTCCAGAAAAGTGAGATTTCATCCGATTTTTCGGTTAGTCTGCACTTGGCCTTCTCTTATCAGATATCATCATAAATTCATCAAAATAACTTGAGGTCTCCTTTACCTTAATAGGGTGTAACGTATCCGGCTTGTCACGGCATCTGGCGCTTCTGGGCGCCGCCCATGGAACGCTCCCGTCTGGCCACGCTTGCCTTTTCGGGTTCGTATGCCGGCGTCGTGGTGGGGTTGCCCCTGTCTGGGCTGCTGGCTGATACGGTGGGCTATCAGGCGCCGTTCTATGCCTACGGCGTGTTTGGCATCATTTGGTATATGTTCTGGATATGGCTGTGCTTTGAGAACCCGCGAAAGCATCCGGCCATCAGCATTCCCGAGCTGAAGTACATCGAAAAGTCGCTGGGAGAGTCGCTCCATCCGACGATGCCATCGCTAAAGACGACGCCTTGGCGGCAAATGTTGCGCTCGATGCCGGTCTATGCGATTATAGTGGCCAACTTCTGTCGATCCTGGAACTTCTATCTGCTGGTCTTGTTCCAATCTTCGTTCCTCAAGCACAAGTTCGGCTTCAAGGTGGAGGAGGCTGGCTTTGTGGGCTCCCTGCCACATCTGATCATGACCACAATTGTGCCATTTGGCGGTATGCTGGCTGATCATCTGCGAAAGAATGGCATCCTCTCAACCACGAATGTGAGAAAGCTGTTCAACTGCGGTGGGTTTGGAATGGAGGGTCTGTTCTTCCTATTCGTGGCACATTCCTCAACGGCGGTGAGTAATCGAGACTCCAGATTTTTGTGGGTGAGTGCTAAGACATTTGATTCCAGACAGGAGCCATGTTTGCCCTGACTTGTGGCGTGGCCTTCAGTGGGTTTGCCATATCGGGCTATAATGTCAATCACTTGGATATTGCTCCACGCTACGCGAGTATCCTAATGGGTCTCTCGAACGGCATTGGCACGCTGGCAGGCATCATAGTGCCCTACGCACTGGATGGTCTTATACAGGCTAATGTGAGTAGCAAGCCCAAAAACCTTTCTAGACGTATATGAGAACATTTGCTCACCCAGCCCACTGGCTGCTGGACCACTGTGTTCACCCTGGCCGCCTGTGTTCATCTGGTTGGCTGCACTTTCTACGGCATCTTTGCCTCTGGAGAGCTGCAGCCCTGGGCCGAGCCGCCGCCCGAGGAGCAGCAGGTTTGGGCACCACCGGCGGGAGCCATCACCAACACGGATCCCAGCCAGGCCGGCATGCTGGGCAACTACATGAAGGAGACAGCATTCGTAAGTCTCGCACGCAGCGCTTACATAAGTGATCTTTAACCTCCACATTACCTGTTCCTTGTAGGGTGCGCCCGAGTACAATGAGCAGAGCCAAATGCAGCAATCAAGTGCCATTAGCTATGGCGCCACCGGGCACGTGGCCAACAATCCATTTGCCATGGCCGCCAGTGGACCCATTGCCGAGGAGCCCGCCCCGCCGCCGTACGACGATGTGGCCTACAACTATGACTACACGCAAGGGCAACCCCAGCCTGGGCAGGCAGGACAGCCAGGACAGCCGACCTACGACACGCAGTCCTACCAGCAGCAATAAAGGAATCACTTTAGTCACTGATATATATCATAGCTTTTAGTTGTAGTTGGAAATCGTTTGTTCTTGGTGTGTCGTTAAAGTTATTCCATCACTCTATATGTTGGGTTTTATTCGAGGAACTGGGGTCGCTAGTCACATACACACACACAGACAAACATATGTAGTTATAAATATCGAGATCCTACGCTGAGTAAATTACTACAAAGGAAACATGTTCAAACGAATTTTCAGCAGAGGAATGTCACAAGCCACAAGCCACACTAACACAATGAAACTATGTACCTAACAGAGAAACTACATATGCACACATAGCAAAACACAAAAGTAACACATAGACACAGGAAGGCGCATTCGATCTGCAGCATCTGTCGTCTAACGTCGCTTCCGCGAATTTCTATTTACAAGCTCCAATCAAAAATACAAGGCAAAATGGAAACAGAGGGACAAGAAGAGGGACATTTGTGTATATCATAAACTACATAATCCAGACATGCACCACGTCTCAAAGAATACTTAAAAGATATATAAACCGATGTAATATATACATGATATGTATGTATTATTGACATTATTAGCTACAAATTGTTGTTAACTATGCAAATATGAAAACTGCAAGTTTTATTACCGTTGAAGATATTATATCTGTGCAAAGATCAGCCCCACGGGGCGACAGCATCTAGGCATGGGACAATTTTAATCTTAAAAAGCTAAGCAATTGTTGATGTTCGGCACGAATGATAACCATAAAATAACATACACTAACTAATTCAATATTCATATGCATATATATGGTTATGATTATTGTTTGTTTGACTTATTGTACTTGAACAGCACGAGCAAGGCACGATGTAGGTACTAAAATATATATATTTTAGTCACATAAGTAGATAGCAGTAGGCGCAATTAACCTCAGACTTGGTCTTCATATACTCGTCACACACTAACACGGACTATGGGTCGATTTCTTGTCTTCTAAACACATTTATTTGTTATTCAATTTCAGCCGAATACAAAAGATTTTCATTCAAAAATTGTCACTAAACCTTATGGCTGGCTGCCTTATTATTGTTTATTTTTAAATTTCTTCCACTTTACAAAACTTGTTTACCTACTTCGATCATTATAATTTATCTTATTTATTTGCAGAAATCGGCCCAAAAACTGATAGTATAATTTTTAAATATTTAAGAGATTATTTGGGCTTTATTCTCAGAGAAACATTCTCAATAAATATGCTTGGATTTTCAACTGCTGATATTAAAGTCCAAATAAAGTCCAAATAAGTAAATAATTTTATATGGACTATCAGAACAAATATTTAGCCAATTTATATTGTAAATATTTTTAATTTTCCATACAAAAAAGCGCACAAAACTCTTTTTACAATTATCTTTAAAAATGCACCATATAATTTAACAAATGCACACTTTAATTTTAGCGCACAAATTTATATTACAAATGGCACTTTTTAATATATTTTAAACCTAAAGTATCTAAAGTTTTTTATGCACCTGCATTATTTTTTGGTTCTGCCTACAACTTGATTTAGATGCACTCATTTTTTAAACACAACTATCTAATCGATTGTGCAATACTTGAACAACAAATTTAACTAGGAATAAGTATTAAAATATATATAACTATATTTAAACGTAATTTAATCAATTTATTCACAATTAAAACACTATGTAATAAATATGTGAACATTTTCTAACTAAAAGAGTCAATTCTTATACCGTAATTTGTACAGCGCAGCGAATATAAATATATATAAACGTATGTAATCAATCAAATTTAAACTATATAAGTAGTACGTAATTATGGAATTTTTAAATCTAACATGCGGAACAATACTTCGTGTTTGATCCATAAAACTAACAACCAAAACTGCTTGTGAAAGTGACAATACCTAGTGAAGTAAGCTTAGTTTATAGTTCAATAGCAATTATTTAAATTGAATTTCTATTTATTTACCTTCTGTTTGAATTTGGGCACAAATTTTGAATGCTTCTCAAAATGTTGGCCCCTTGGGCATATGTGTAATATTAGAATAATTGCTAAACCATTGTGTACATAAATGCATAGAGAAATGCAACTAGCATAGTTATCTTAAATCCGTATGTGTGTCTTCTTAAATCGAGTTTTGGTCATAGGAGAGATGAACACTGACGAGGCTCTCACCAGTCATGTGCTCATCTAAACGCACTAAGTTCTTTATGATCTCTTTTTCTGTTTGAGAGATACTCAAGCTCTCGGGGCTGTGTGGACAATAATAAAACAAAATATGTTAGCCGGAAAGCCATATATGACAATACTTAATCACACCATTGCCATGACCGTTTGTATATAATCTAACCTAATATATGTATCAAATTGGCTAATAAATGTTTCTGTGAGTCATTTATCTAAGTGTATATAATGCCAAATTAAGAAAATAATAGCATAATAATCAAATAGAAAAAAAACGAGCACTACTTAATGTAATAATAATAACTATAGCTACATTATGCCGGAACCGGCTACGTACTATTTTAACTCCTAGCCGAACATTAATGTTGTATGTGAAAGCAGCTCTAAGAAACGCTAAGCAGCCATAAAAGTAACCCATACACTTTCATCGGAAGAGAACAAATATAGACAGACAAATACCATAAGTATATTCCACACCAGATATATATACGAGTAAAATATCCATACTATAAATGTAAAAAGGAACTGCGGACAGCCGGAGCTCACATTATTTCAACGAAAAGTTTCATGCTAGAAAAAAGAAAGGTTTGGATCATCAATACTGGAACTGTGTATATATAAGACAAAATCAAACAATGTATTCTTTATGTTTATTGAGCGTACTGTATACAAATTGCTACAAATTAAATCAAAGTCAAATATTGAAAAAAACAAATGGAGATCCCTTTTCTGGCAACACCCGCCCATGTTGTATAATTTGAATGGTCGATAAACCAAGTTAATATACATATATATACTTATATACGTACATATATACTTCAATGTATGCTCATAACAGAACAACAAATCCTTAATAATATTCATGAAATGCAACTGAAAAGATTCCGAAAGACTCAAGCTCAATACCAAAAGATTTTCATTTAACATCCAGCTTCCCAAAATAATTTACCAAAAATATTACTCAAATTTATTTAAAGAGTTATGACACTGTGAACGAGAAAAAACTACTGCGTGACATCTGGCTATACGAATTACCATATTTAAACGTCTAAATTCAAAACTAAAATATACCTTAACGAAAATTGTATTTGGAACTCAATAAAATGAACTTGTTAAGAATTATGCCAACAAATATTGAGTGTATTTTGCTTTTATTTGAAACAACTTTCAGCCTACAACTTAATGATTAGATTCATTGATTTGTACAGAACCCGAAACACTTGGGATTGGATGTCGCTTCTCTGTCGCAACTCCCAGCAAACATGGCGGTGGCTAAGACTAACAACAAAAATATATTAAATAAATATGATTCGTACAATTAGGAAACAAACTATAATCACATCAGTGCTACGGTGTAAAAGATGAAAGAATGCACTCGGGTTCAGAATAGGTTCGAGGTTGCTTCGGAATGTTTTGAAATTTATTTATGAGACAAATTCTGAACCGCTTTGAACTCGTCTGCACCACAGAGCGAAAGCCAACGAAAAATGTGAAAATTAAGGAATTTTCATTATCGCCGTACTCCCTGGTATTCGCCATTGGAACGCCCCTTACCTGGGAAACCACGGGCAAAGGGCGCTTTTGCATTAGTGGTAACATAGTAGTTTCCTCGAGCTCTGAAAAGTATTAGCAACATGACTATAAAGACATTAAGGAGGACATGAGTCGGTACTAACTTGTGTGAGCAGTGCTCGCCCATTAGAACGTACTCGGAATCCTTGGGCTCGCACCAGCCTATTAGGTATGTAAACAAGTTGGGACAGGGACCGGCATAGAAGCCCCGAGTCGTCGTTATGGACTCTATAAAATAGGGAGTGACTTTGGTGTGGTCGCAGGCCAAGGTTTCTGGAAAATCCAAACAGAATTGTATGTAAGAAAAGCCAAGGATGAACCCTATCGGAGGTACTCACGGAAGAGTGTGGCAGAGCCTACACAGGCCGGCTGTCTGGTGCCGCCATTCACATAAAAGTCCGCGTGTCCACTGGAATGCCATTGACCGAGTATCCCCGCTCCTGTGTGCACAACATCCACAAAGTTGGCATCGGTGGTGTCCAGATCCCTGGAGTTGTTGGCCCCTGCGTAGAAGAATATCGTTGGATCCAGGGCAGTGATGCGCCCCAACTTTCCCTCCTCGGGCTTGAGATAGTTGGCCACCAGTCCGGCTATGTGGGCACCCACGCTGTAGCCGATGAAGTGAAGGTCATCGGGCTGCACCCCGCGCGGATGTCGGGCGAGGTACTTGACCAACTGGGAGATGCAGAGGCTGCCGAAGCGGGGCGCCCAGTCCATCTGGCTGAGGCAGGGCTCCTTCACCGCATCGGCATAGTCCACGATGATGATGTTGTAGTCGCCCACGCTGAAGTAGGCCTCCCGCAAGTCGGGACTGGGACTCAGATCGCGACCTCCCCCGAAGCCGTGGATGATTATCTTCGTCGGATGGCGGGGATTGAAGTGCGTGTAGTAAAGGGCGTTGGCATCGAGCACATTGATAAACTCGGGCTGCTCCTGGGTGCGGCGCGTATACAGATAGAACTGAATCTTCGGATGCGGGCAGCGGTACGGCTTCTGCAGGCAGGACTCCGTCACATAGACTTGGGTTTGGTTTTGTCCCGCCGCCACCGCCGCGGCCACAACGCCAGCATTTTGGGCAGCTGTGAGAAGAGAGAAATTAAGTGGAAGTTGAATCTGGTGTGGATGTTGGTAAACGTGTTTCACGCTCCGCTTCAGCTTCGGCTTCAGCTTTGGTATTACACTTAATTACATAAGCCGCTGGCTTCGACATTGAATGTTTGCAATTTGGCACGCTGCAAATGTCATGCGATTGCGTTTCTGCTGCAGTTGTAGTTGCAGATGGAGTTGCAGTGGCACGAGCAATGCATGCAGACAGCAGAAAGTAAAAGTCACCCAAGTCAGGCAGTTGGACAAAAACGGAAGTGACGATGCCTCTTGCCTGTTGCCTGTTGCTCTTTGTTTGCTGTTTGCTGTTTGCTGGGTCTATTTTTGACAAAACGTGCTGCTGGCAATGATATAACTGGAGCTGACAACTGGATACGGCATGAATATGCGTAATTTGTGCGGCATATTCATGAGGGGTCATAAGGAAATACCATTCCAGATGGGCTTGACTGGTAGTGGGAGCCATTGTTAGTGGACAGATATGCGCGTTATGGTTCCAAATATTTTTAAGAAAAAACACCAAAACATTCAAAGAATTTTTAATATTTTTTTTTGTCCATGCAAAATTCTTGATAAATTGAAACTCAATAATAAAATAAACATATATATATATTTAAATTTGGTGTCCATAAATTAATTGAAAAGTAATTATAATCCAATGTTCAGTTAAAGTTCAGCTCCAAACCCCGAACTAGTTCCCATGACGAGCACCTCGCTTGATGTGAGCTCACGGCATGTGTAAGAAGCCCCAGCAATGCGCATTGCATGCAAATGGCCAAATTAAAATCTAACGAAATTGCTGGAGAATCGACCTTCAGCTGGCTCAGTGGGCGGCAGGTAATATCAACTGGCACACTTGTGATTGGCGTACATAAGGAGCTAAGCAAGAGGCAGAGCCAGATAATGCAACCGGTCTTGTAGACTATTACAGATGAAGAGTTTTGCTGCTTGGCTGAGCACTGGAAAGACCCGAAACATATCATAACTGCCTTATAGGGCACATACCCCATAGACACAGTGAGCAAGATGGGCAACTGGCTTGTTGTTACCATTTCACTTCACTTCGATTTCATGTTGCGATGACATGTTTTGGTGCTTGTCAGACAAATAGACGGATTGCTGATGAGCTTAGCATGCAATAGGCGGTCAGTTTACATCAGAGGCCTCTGCATAAATCCACTCAACCGCCCACCCCCAGACTCCAGCAAGACTTCAATTAGCAATGGTCGGTACTGCCGTGGTCATGCCTCAATTGTCTTCAACTTTGCTGTTTACATTTGCTTTTCACAATCGTTTATCTGCAGCGCTGCTTTTACCGTGTTATGTAAGCCAATAAGCAAATCAACTTTGTTTTCTACCCCTACCCTAACCATTTCTGTCCTTTTTCCCATGTTAAATTAACGCATTCCAATTAAATGACTTTTTGGTTTTTGTTTACATCTATTGTTTGGAGAAAACCCGAGTGGAAATCATGGAAATTGTGCTGCAATTGGGTTGGATTTGTGGCCGAGGGTGTCCAACTAACACAAATCACAATCCAATGCCTAAAACGGAAGCCGGCAAAAGGCGGAAGACCCAAACACGAACTCCTCATCGTTCGCTAAGTGAAAAATGTTTTGGTTTGTTTTGGGGCTCGTCTCTGTGGTTGCTCTCTCTCTATTTTGTGGGCTTTTTATGTTTATGTTGCCATGAGTCACATACATTGTATGGCTTTGAGTGGTTTTTTGTTGAGACTATTGGTAAATTGGCTTGATCTCGATGCTGATATTGAGTTTTGTGTGTCAAAACTGGTCCATAATTAAGCTAAAGAAATCAATTATGGAAGTATCCATGGAATAAATTCTTGAACTTCGAATTATACTTTGACTTGTTTGACCCACTTTATTAATTTGACTGGTGCTTGGAGTGCTTGGGGTGTCCATTAACCTGCAGTCTCGAATAATGATTGCCCCAGCATTAACCTGCCCAAAATCCTTCATCCAACTGCCCCCCCCTGACCATGGCTCCACGTCACAGTTTGCCAGTGACACGCACCTCGGCAATGCGCGTACCCCGCCATTAGCCGGCCTCAGTGAGAGACCAGTGGCTGCCAGGGCTGGGAATGTACGGCGATGACACCTTCATCAGCAGCTAAACATATAACTTGGTCAAGTAGTTAATATTGCAACAGCAGTGAAACAGAAACAAGCAGCAACGAAGAGTGTCAAGGTGGAGGTGTAAATGAACATAAATATGAATTTAAATGAAAGACACGAATTATGAGGAATTCCAGAGCATTCGTCTAGCAGCATAAACGAACGGTAGCCACTGCAATTAATTAGCTAGCGAGAGGCAAGAGATTACCATGATAAGACAAAGGCAACATTTGTGCGCGAGATGAGCCATGAAAATATCAATGCCTGGCACAGACAATAAAAACTTTCAAGTATTTGTCAGAGCAACGACATTAGAAGTGCCTATAAAAATAGTTTTGGGAATATCCATGCTTTTATATAAACAATACCGAGCAGACGAAGCAAGGTCAACGCGGGATGACTCCGCACAAAATAAAGAAAAGAAACTCATGCATAAGTATTGTGCAACTACTCGCATTTAAAAATGAAATTTATGCCATCAGTTTAGGCAGTTGACGCAAATTTAAAGTGTCAACAGCAAACAGCAAACAGCCACAGCCACAGCTGCCAGCAGATCTACAATGACAGGCCCAAAAGAAAGGCCAGGCACAAACCAATTCAGGCACGGCCGAAAATAAAGGTTCCAACCAGCAGCAGGGCGAAAGTAAAAGTTTAACGTAAACGTCTCTCTCTCTCTCTCTCTCTCTCTCTTTTGAGTCTTTCTTTTCCGTCTCAACTTTAGTTTCTTTTAGCACATACGAACCGGCGAATTCCAGACGGGAGATTGTGGCACTAATCAGGAGGATGAAGTGCAGCAAACCGGATGAACCCACCAATGCTTTTGGCTTCGTCACAATTTTGAACTGCATTTCTTGGCTTGTTGTTTTTTTGCAAACTCTCTTGAGTATTCACTTTGCGTTTTGGTTACTTGCAACTGGAATTTGATTATATAACCGAACTATGCTTGCGGTTCAGCTCTTCACAGGCCATGGGTCAAGGTCTGCAATGTGTTTTGTTGTCTAACCAAAGGTGTGCACTCTTTCACAGGCACCAGCTTGAGAGCTGGTCATTGGACTCGATTTCGATTTCAGTGCGCAACAAGACGACGAAGCTGGCGGGGCATAATTCCGGCTGCCCCAGCAGAAATTGAATCAATTTTGTTTACTTCACTTCTTTTATATATTTTGCGGGCACGCGCGGGTGTTTCAAACGCAACACGAATACTCTCGGGGTGGGGTTGGGGTCTCGCGGAATCCGTGCGTGTGCGCTCGGCTGGAGCTCTCTCGAGCGATTGCAGCCCGAGTTCGTGTCTTCAGTCGTTTGTCTTGGAGCTTTCCCCGAAAAACCATTGGCCAAAGCTTGCTCTGGAATGAAAGCTTTTTTTCTGTAATGCTAAAGCTTATTTATTTCACGCTGCGAACGGTGAAGCTCTGCCACATCCATTTCAACATCCACCAGCGGACCCTTAGCAAAGGGGGAAACCTCGTGGGTTGTGAGGAAATACGACCCAATGGCGCTGTAAGGGATGAGAGCAGAGTCCAAGATAAGAGAGAATTTAAAGGGCATAAATCTATACCTCTGCGAGACAAAGTATCCCATCTGGATGTTGGGCATGTTCGAGTACTGGCTGCAACGCTGCGAGAAGAAGTCGAACCAGCCGCCGCACTGCTGGGCCCAAAATCCAGTGCTGGTGGTGATGGACTCCGCATAGTAGACGGCCGAACGATAGTGATTGCAGTTGTAGAAGCGCCAGGAGCTCACGTAGCTGCAGCCGCGCTGGTTCAGCTGATCAAGGTTGGGGTAGAAGTCCGCATGTCCCATGGCAGGCAGCATGGAGAAAAAGAAGGGATCGGTGTGAATGATGTCCACAAAGTCAGCGTCGCTGCTGTCGAGCTTGTGCTGCAGCGAGGCCTGCATCATGAAGCCAGGTCCAGCTGGGTCCAGGCCAGTGATCCGTGCCAGGGGCTCAGTCACATAATTGGCAGCCATTCCTGCCACCTGAGCCCCCAGACTGAAACCAATCAGGTGTATGTCCTCCCGTTTGTATATGCCCGCTGACAACAGATTGTTTATCAACTGAGCCAGGCACTCGGACACAATGGGAGCATTGGTAACAGCCCAGGGAAAGTAGCAGGGAAAACGAACCAAACTCCCGTAATCCACGGAAATCACATGGACGGGCTGGGTTTGCAGCAGGACATCTCGCACCTCCAGACTGGGCGTCAGATCACGATTGCCGATGAAGCCGTGTATGAGTATTTTAAGAGGTAGTCTGGGCCTAAATATCTCCGCCTGGGGATCGAGGGGATCTACTTCCACGGGTTGATCACGTGTGTTGCTAAAAACAGTCTGGGTTGAGCATGATTCCAACCACTTACGATTCCAACTCACTTTGTGTAGAGCCAAAAGGTAATGCGAGGATTTGGACACTTGTTCTCCGCAAACACACAGAATTCGGGTAACAATCCACGCAGCTCCATCTCCGCTAAAGTGTGTCCAAAGAGTAGAAATGCCAGCAGGAGATGGCTCCCATTCCATCGATATTCGCTCATTGCAAGTGCCTAAACTGCTCTACGACTTCGTTCTAACGTCGATTCTATTAAATTTGCCACGCCAAACATTGAAAATTGCATACGAAATGAGGGGGCCCATATAATGTGCATGTGGGCTGATAAGAGAGTCAAGGTTTCCGGAGCGGGTTAGGGTTAGCCAGTAGGTCAAGGTCGTAGCTCGTGCGCGGGCTGGAGTCGGTTGGGCTGAAGCTTTCTGCGGGCATAGAAGGTGACATTGAAATTCGGTGAACGCCATACATTACCGAGAAACAAAAATCCACAATAATTCAATCAAAAAGAGTTACTTCCAGGGAACTTGGCTAATTATTTAAAATAAATTATAAATAATATGCGAAGCAACTAGAGAAATCACAAATAATCCTATGACAAAGGTTCGTCTTCTGCTTGATTCTTCCAGACCAGTGGCCTCTCGAGATCTTCCACACCTGTTTGCAGATGGTTATCGGGATCCTCCAGCTCGCGGAAGCCCTCCAGCAGCTGTGGCTCAAATTCATGGTCGAGCTCATTGGACTCGGGACTCAGGTGGAACTTGGCCAGGTGTCTGCTGTTGTCCACGTCCTCCATTTTCCCCAGGGCATAGGGCGTATCGTTGGCTGTCTTGAGGAAAAAGGAACCCTTCACGTCCTCCGCCACGTGGTAGCCCATCAGGGCCTGGGGGTCGTTGGTTGAGCACAGTCCGATGAGGTGGACCAACCAGCTGGAACACTGGCGACCCCAGAAGCCAACGGTGGAGTTAATGGACTCGGCATAGAAGAGGGGAGCTCTGTAGTGGTTGCAGCTCCCGGGATCGCTGGGGTTCTCCTCCATGCAGCCCGGCTGCTGGGGTCCGAAGTTGGGGTAGAAGTCCACATGGCCCATTGAACGGAGCATTCCCCGACCCAGTACATCCGTGTGGATAACATCCACGAAGTCTGCGTCGCCAGCATCCAAGCGTCGCGCATCACTGCCCAGGATGAACAGAGGCTTGGCCGGGTCCAGGCCCGTAATCCGCTTCAACTTTCGCTTCAAGTGATTTGTGGTCTGACCCGCCACCTGTCCACCAAGACTGAAGCCAATGAGGTGTATCATCTCATTCGGAACTATGCTCCGGTCCACCAGGTTGTTGATGAGCTGCGCCAGGCATTTGCTCACTAGAGGAACGTTTTGCACTGCCTGGACATAGCAGGGATAGCGCACCAGTGGCCCATAGTCAATGGAGATTACATAGACATCCTCATGGTCCAGCAGCACTGGCCGAATTAAGGAGTTCGGGGCAAAGTCTCGATAGCCCGTGTATCCATGGATCAGTATCTTTAGAGGGCGCGGGGGCTGAAAGTCCCAGGGATTGAGATTGAGTGGGTCCAGTTGGGTGGGACTATCCCGAGTTGCGCTGAAGAACAAAGCTCTGAGTGAGTGCAGAAGCAGTGGCACTGACAGCTACTTACTTGGAGTAAAGCCAGAAGGTAATATTTTCATTGGGACACTCTCCACGCATCACAAAGCATGCCGGATCGAACAGTCCGACCAGAGGATTGTCTTTTGCCAACCAGACGAAAGCTGTTCAAGGAATACCAATGAATGGAGGGGTGGCTCTCCCGGTCACGCCATCGATTCCATCACTTACCCAGCAGGTAGAGCCCCTGCGCCAAAAGCTGCATTGCTCCAAAATTTTCTAACACCGACTGTGTTTCGGGCATTGAAAGTTGCTGCTATTTAAAGTCTGGCAATTATCTAAGGCTGAAGCCAATTGGTTCCGGCGGCGGCATATATAAGCACCCACACAGGTGCCAAAGCCAATTGGTGTCAAATAAGAACGAAAGTAGTGTGAGCTCATGTAGATCGTTAGACGTTTCACTTTCAAAATAAACAAACAAAAATGTTACTTGTTGGTCTATGTAATGGCCAACAAATGAACAGTTCTTTTAATTATCAAAAAAAAAAAAGTTCTACTATAGAAAAAATTGTAATTCAATACAAAAATTGAGTCCTCCAAATCTATCAGAAAAAGTCGGCATGGTTCCTTAAGAAACATATTGGGTTAATTTATTTGAGTTTTACATGGCTCTGTTAACATCAAACACAATAACAGAAAGGGTGACATAGCTAACAGCTTGTGACACACTGCTCCACAGATTCAGCAAATGTGGTATTTATTTACATTTTATTCTCTCTTATAGCACGTTTAACTTTCTCGGAGGCAGGTCGTTTTTATAGATCGAGATATTCCTCTTTGTTTTATATAATTATTCCACATTTCTTTATTAGATTCCAGTATCTTTTAAGACGCTCGCCTTCTTTCCAGACGTTGTTGTTCTTATGTATGTCGCAAAGGTGTATATTCCATGTAGTTACCATATAGAATAAATGAAAGCTTATTCCACTTATCAGAGAATGGATTTTGCAATAGGCTAAAAGTATTAGTGTGGAATTTACAGTCACAAGAGCTGGTAATATTAAATAGAATATCAAAATCGAAAATAATTATTCAGGATTTGGTATGTTTACGGTATATTTTGAAGATAAGAAAGTATATTTTGCTATATTTTGGTACATTTTAGAGGGTCATGCGGGCATATTTTATTTACACACAATTTACATTGCTGCTGAACTTTTTATTTAATCCCTAATTTATAAATAAACCTGTATAAACAAGTTTTTAGCAGTAATCCAATCCTGTAGATTATTCATCCATCCATCGCATCAAATTATGTGCTGAGCGTTGAGGATGCTAGCCAGCTAGTATTATTACACTGAATATGAAAACAAATACACACAAAAGATTGCCGAACATCGACAGATGATAATGATGATAATCTGTGCGAACCACAACAACATCTTATATAATGGCCAAACGACAAACCTGGGAACACATGCGACAGGTCTTCGCACAGGCGGTAAACGCTGTCCATCCGGAGAAGATATTCGCCGATTTCCAGAGATTCGACTTGCGGCCGCAACGGATTGAGAACGGCAGAGTCTGCATCAAACTGAACGGAGAACAACACGATATAAGTGGGAAAAAATGTCACATAGTCGGATTCGGAAAGGCCGTGCTGGGCATGGCCAACACGGTTCATATGGACTTGGGCCCGTACTCAGCCGGAGGAGTTCTTAGTGTGCCTATCAATACGCTGAAGCAGCCCCCCCAGGGCTTAACCGTCTACGAGGGAGCACCCAACAATTTGCCAGATGACGCGGCCTTGAAAGCAGCCGAAGCCATCAAAGAGTTGGCCCAGAAGATGACTCCCCAAGATGTGCTCCTTGTGTTTGTGTCAGGAGGTGGATCTGCGCTGCTGCCGCTGCCTAGACCACCCCTTGACCTCAGTGACAAGCGAACAATAGCAGATAAGCTGATGAGGCGTGGAGCCAGCATCCAAGAGCTCAACACCGTACGCATTGCCTGCTCGGACATCAAGGGCGGCCGTTTGGCCAGATTTGCTGGCAATGCAGGACTACTGGTTACCTTTGTCTTGAGCGATATCATAGGAGATCCTTTAGAGCTGATCGCCTGTGGGCCCACCATCCAACCGGTGGGTGGAGAATCCGCTGTTGAGGTTCTGAAGAGACACCAGGTGTGGGAGGAGCTCTCTGCGGAAGCTAGAAATGTCTTTGAGGTGTCGCAAAAGCCAGATAACCCTTTGCTGCCCAAGCACAAAGTCTATGTAGTGGGTAGCAATGTCATAGCTACCGCAACGGCAGCACAACAGGCTGCAAAATATGGCTACATTCCCTGCGTCCTAAGCTGTTCTGTACAGGGTGAGGTGGAGCAAGTGGCAGCCGACTATCAGCGCCTGCTGCAGGGCATAGGGGAGGCCAGGCAGCATGGCATCTGTGAGGAGCAGCTGAAGGAGAAGTACGCCTTCGGAGAAGATAGTTTCCAGGATTTTAAGGCGGCTTTAGGGCAGCACTTGAGCAGTCAGATGCCGCTGTTACTCATTTGTGGTGGCGAGCCAGTGATCAAAGTTTGTAAAGAGATCCAATATTAAGATCTCACATTAATGTTATAATGTATTTCAGGTCACAGGTCAAGGTGTGGGAGGACGTAGTCAGCACTTGGCCTTGCTGATGTCACAGACTCTACATCGCGATGAAACGCTGCGTGATTGCACCTTCCTAAGTGCCGGAACAGATGGCATTGATGGACCCACAGATGCAGCTGGAGCCTTTGGAGACAGCAGCGTCATTGAGTCATTTCTGGCGAACCACACGCTGGACGAACTAGCCGAGATCCTGCGCAACTGCGACAGCTACAACTTGTATAGGAATCTCTCGGATGGCGACTACCACGTGCGCACTGGCCACACAGGAACCAATGTGATGGATCTACACTTGCTCGTCGTGCCATAGTGGAACGCCATAGTGAATGTGGGGCAATTTGTTAATAGAGCTGCTCTTGAACTGCAGACGGGCAATAATCGTTTAAATTTGTTTTTACGATTTTCCTCTTTAATTTTTGTCTATCAAATTTTACGACTTTTTTCATTAACATTTTTAATATTCAGTCAAATTTAAATAGTTTCAAGATCTTTATGCTCCGAGGCGAGACCCTGCAGAGTGACAGCATAAAAGGCAATTAGCTCTCCACTCAGTCATTCCCTTGTTACGAAATCAGCAATGGCATTTAGACATTTTCGGCATAAGTTGTCTTGATTATAATTATCCGGTAGTGGCAGATGTGATAAATCAATTTGTATGTACGATTATTATAAAGCATAAATATATTCGTGTAATACCCGGGCACCATGCCTCTCCTCTCCTTTGTACTGCGGCTCATACAAATGCGCTGCTAATAAATCATCTTAATTGTTCGAAACGCCAAAGGCAAACAGTAGCAACAGCAGTCTCAGCGGCAGCTCCAGCAGCAACTACAACAATAGCCAGCGATAATTGCAATTAAACATTTAAATTTATTCGTCTTTTTTTTATTTTTAGCATGGCTGAAAACTAAAACGCGGCGCGCGCCCAGTTGCAATATAGAAATTTGTACTAACCGACACTTTGAATGCATACTTTTATAATTGCAATATATTCTAGCCTTTCTATTGCTGTTTCGTTTCTGTTACTGTCTCCCTCTATCTTTCAGCGCTTTTCATTGTTTACTCGGCGCTCTGCCGCGCACTTTCCACCATTATAAAATAATCACATTCGCCTGTCCCTCTTGTGCTATTTTTGCTCGATTAAGCTTGTTATTAAATGCAACCGCCTGCACAGACATTAGCCGCCAGCTGAGATGACTAACTTCTGATTCCTGTAAGTCTGTATTATTCATCGCAGTGCTGAACACACAAACACGATATCAGCGTCACTTAGCTAGAGAGTGTCAGCTATTACAGAAGATACATATGCTAACATAAGTTTTATCCCTCATCAGGGGTGGGAGATCCTTGGAGGATTGTTTCGCATGCCTGTTTTTTATTTGAACTATACAAACATTTTCAATTGATTATCGTAACTTCAATCGTAAATCTCTCTACGCGCAACTTCAGAATCATTTTAAATTGAAACTGCTGCTCTGTGTGTGTGCTCCGATTTGACGCTCACATTACGAGTACATTAATTAAGCGCTGCCTACATGTCGGTCGGCTCCGCCCACTCTCAGATCTACATGTGACGATTAGAAACACTTCCGCTTCCGTTTTGCGAGACTTGTACTTATGTACATGCCATCATCATCGCCATCACCATCACCATCACCATCATCCGCAGCTGCTATATTTAACATTATTATTAGCCAGTGACCACCATCAAGTCCGCCTCATCCTCCCACATGGCTGGAGCAGCAGCAGCAGCAGTAGAAGCTGTGGAATGTCGCGTCAATTTGTCTGCCTGTGCATATGGCATGGCATTAATCTCAGTGTAGAGTACCCAGCCTGGTACCCATCTTCCCATCGAGTAGCGGCAGGGTAAGGCTGCGACAGCAACAGATACGGCCATGGAGTGCAAGTGACGCGTTGATTTATTAATTAAGCATTGGAGCGCGGCAAGGCGGCAAGGCGGCAGCTGAGATACCCAGCAACGCGTGGCAACCGATCCGATCCGATCCGATCCGATGCTGGCGATGATGCTAATGAAGTACTCGCTGGAAATTTTAATTAACGATCCCCGATTCGATCGCCATCGCCATCGCGATCGCGTTCCCCAGCATAGACTCTTCCATAGAAGTGTTGACTTATGACATCACACCAAAGCCCCAGCCGCTGCCGCAACAGCTGCCGCTCGCTCTCTCTCTCTCTGATCATTGCCAGACAAACTGACGACGCTTATCACAGACAACAGAGACACACACGGAGAGCATACATCACATTGAACATTGCGCATACGCCACGTGGCCCCAAAGGCGAGCAATTCAAAAATGTTCGCACTCTGTAGCGACATCCACGAATTCCGTTCTTCTGCTCTTAATTTGTCTAGACAATGGCAAAGTTCACTCCGAGCAAATATAATTTGGGCAAAGTTCAATTAGCGCTCTGTAGCTTGCCTTAGTTGGAGCTGAGGCCACAAAAGATAAAGAAAACTGAATGAGAAGAAAGATCGCAATTTGCATATTACTTCGAAATTGCCTTGACTAACCCCATGAATCATCAGCACAGAGATCTTCAGCTGGAATCTCTTAATTTGAAGCACATGCTGAACATTTGAGCGTTGCAGTACAGCGAACTTTATCCGCAAATTCTCAAGAGAGAATTGTTCAAGAAAACATTGCCAATTGACAGCAGTGTCTTGGCCTG